CCAAGGGAAGGAACTGGCTCGCCCTCTACTGGCCAAGGGAAGGAACTGGCGCCCTCTACTGGCGACAGCAGGTAGTGTCGGCAAAATGGGAGGTGACCTTCCCTATCCCCTTGACCTGAAAGACCCAGAGAGGCCCACAGTGAAACCACGTTGCACATCTACAGCAACTCCCACCCGTGACCAGAACACTTTACTGCTACATCCTGAATGAGCCCTCTTCTGCCAATGTGTTGAAAAGGCAACACTGGACAGAGGAAATGGGGTGGGGTGGGGGAGCCTATGGAGATAGCTGACGTGGTGTAAAGTACTTGAAGCACAATCATAAGACCCAAGCTGGGGTCCCCAAGACCTGAGCTGGGTCCCCAGAACAAAGCCAAACATGTCGGTGTATACATGGAATCCCAGCACTAGAGAGATGTTTGCTGGCCAGATAGCCTATCCAATTCAGTGAGTTCTAGGTCATCAAGAGACCCTGTCTCACACACCTTTAATCCCAGCACTCAGGAGGCAGAGGCAGGTGAATCTCCGAGTTCAAGGCCAGCCTGGGCTACAGAGTGAGTTCCAGGACAGCCAGGGCTACACAGAGAAACCCTGTCTTGAAAAACAGAGAGAGAGAGAGAGAGAGAGAGAGAGAGAGAGAGAGAGAGAGAGAGTAATTAAATTAATTAATTAAAGACAAGCTGCATAACTCCTAAGAAATGGCATACATGCACCCAAATACATGCAAGCATACACAGAAGAAATTTAAGTCAGGTAGGTATGGAATACATCAGAAACTCTTCTTTTCCAATACACAACATCAAAATAGATCTCTATATATAGTCCATTATGAATAGCTAGCTACTTGCTCGTACCATTACCAGGGGGGAAAAAATGACATTATTCTTCAGCAGCAAATCCTTTGTTGAAAGTAAAATGTCAGTAGCAAAAATGCAAAGAACTCAGATTTTAAAACAAAAAACTGCCCGGCGGTGGTGGCACACGCCTTTAATCCCAGCACTCGGGAGGCAGAGCCAGGCGGATCTCTGTGAGTTCAAGGCCAGCCTGGGCTACCAAGTGAGTTCCAGGAAAGGCGCAAAGCTGCACAGAGAAACCCTGACTCGGAAAACCAAAGGAAAAAAAAACAAAAAACAAAATACAACACTACCTCCTACCACTGGGGAGAGAGACTGGGTCAGGCTCGCACTCGGCATAAAGCCACCACGGTGTAAGAAAGATGCTCTGCAAACCGTACATCCCCAACTGACCTGTTCTTGCTATTCTGCTGCCTCAGAAAACGATTCTTTCTTTGCTTCTCCCCACCCACATGTAAAGATTGACATTGTCATAAATGTTTATTAGATTATATCAATACCTCCAATGGCTTTAAATCCACCTAAGAAAGCATTTGATACACACTGATGTCCGATATGCAACAGTAAGTTGTTCCTGAAGAGAGGCTCAGTAGTCATGAGCACATACCGCTCTTTCAGAGGCCCTGAGCTCGGTTCTCAGCACCCAAGAAAGGCGGTTCGCAACGGACTCAAACCCCAGCTCTAGAGCGTTCCATACCTCTGGCCTCCACAGGCACTGGCACTGTTGTTCATGCCCACACAGACCTACACACATTTAGAAGTAAAGGAGGGATGGCTCAGAGGTTAAGAGCACTGGCTGCTCTTCCAGAGGTCCTGAGTTCAATTCCCAGCAACCACATAGTGGCTCACAACCATCCGTAATGAGATCTGGTGCCCTCTTCTGGCCTGCAAGGACACATGCAAGTAGAACACTGCATACATAAATAATAAATAAATAAATAAATAAATAAATAAATAAATAAATAAATCTTTTTAAAAAAAGAAGTAAAAAATATAAATCTTTAAAACGCACAAGATGAATTCCAAGTAGCTCCCATGAGCTTGAAAATTCTAGGGCATCAAAGTCCACAAAACTCAAGCACGAGTATAAACTACCAAGTCTGCATCTCAGCAGAAGCCTCATGCTGTTCCTTCACAGCCCATCCCTTCCCCTCCCCCACTTGCCAAAGCGCCAGTGCCAGGCATAGTGCCGTCCCTAAGCCCCGGGCCTGCCCTGATGCGTGTTACTTTCACGACATTGCACGCACACATGCACACCCAAGGTAACTCTGGTCCCGCCTCCTGACCATCCTACCTGTCCGTCCGTGTGATACACATTCAGAGTCCCGCTACTGGCACACTCTTCATGTAACAAATGCTAAGGGGGAAAGGGGACAGATGCAGCCTCCTCCCCCGCTATGTGTAAGAAGAGAGAACACACATGTATACAGGAGCAGACATAAAGCATTGCTGGCACTCTACAGAAGTAAGCATAGCAACACTGGGGTCCAGGAGAAGGTACAGGGGTCCCAGCCAACCAGGAAAGGAATCCAGGAAGGCAGGAAGAGCCTAATGCTCAGTCCAGTGCATCAGCAAAACACCCTGAAAGGACGGCAACACTCTGTGATGGAGTGCAACGCGTTCTCTTCGTGCACCCGGAATGCATTTGCAAAAAAGCCAAAGTCCACCGAGCACAGCTGACACACGTCTTTAATGCCAGCGCTAGAAAGGCAGAGGCAGGCGGATCTCTGTGAGTTCGAGGCCAGCCTGGTCCACATGCATAGTGAGTTCCGAGACAGTCAGGGGTATGTAGAGAGACTCTGTCTCTCTGTCTGTCTGTCTGTCTGTCTGTCTGTCTGTCTGTCTCTCTCTCTCTCTCTCTCTCTCTCTCT